TGGGGAATTCTGGGAGTTGAAGTCCACTCATCTGAAAGTGGCCAAGTTTGGACAACACTGATTTAGTGTGTTCTGTTAGCCGAACTGTTGGGCTTGCAAGCTATGTTTTATGGATTACCGTGTTGGGCAAACCCAGCCAGTTATGGTTTATTCAACCAACCTTGGCTAAGTTAACTATTTAATTAGCTTGACGTGAGAACACAGTCAGTATTTCTGAGTTTGCATGTTGTGACCAGCCATGGCTTATCTAGGGACATACAAACCAGCGAAGATTCATCTGAAATTTGTCACTCAGTTTGAACCTATTGAGTGGGAACTTGGGATTACAGAGGCTGTGTGCCTGTGCCAATGGCCATTGATGCTTTGAGGCAGCTGAGTGGCTTTGACACATCGAATCCATTTAGCGCTATATCAGTGTTTTGCCTGAATGGCTTTCAGAACAATGCTTGCTTAAGTATGCTTTGCTAAATAGTCTACAGAAACAGCTTTCGGTGTCCTGCAATGCCAAACGAAATCTTCAAAGTCTCAACAGCCAAATCTGTACAATACACTATACAAAAATGAAACAAACCCTACGACAACATTAGGGCCCAGTGTGTACCAGTTCTTTGTTCCATGCCTGGCTAAAATATGGGGGAGAGGCTAACTTGGTGTTGCAAATTCAGGTAGGGTGGTTTCTTCATGGGGCAGCAGGTTGTGCAAAAGGGAACGTAGTAAATTGAGTAAATTGCTATCCAGTTAACCATGACTTCACACTGTGTAAGCATAGCTCATATATATCTGCCTTTGCTATTTGACCAAGAAGGACAACAGGCAAATACAGGGTTGTCACATATAGCTGAAAAAGACCTTATTTTGGAAGAGTGGCTCTGATTTTTCTCTTCTATTTCTTTTTTAACAAGCAAGTCAAGTAGAGGTCTGCAAGAGAGAGAGAGAATATTGAGTAGAAAGACATTTGCACAAAGATACAAATGTCCAAACTGAATGCTCTTTCCCCCTCTCTTTTAAAACAGTCTCTATGCTCTATCTACCGACCTACCTCATATTTTTTTTTTAAAAAGTGCTTCATTTCTAACAAAGTCCTTCCCACAATTATTTTGTAAAGCTACTTTGAAACATTGTAGGCACCTTTAACAGCTAATAAGCTTCATATGTAGAGCTAAGTGCCATGGTTGGCTCAGATCTGAGAATATAGATTCCCCAGCAAATGGGAACAAATTATTTGTTACAGGGAAGGGGTGCTTAAGCCCTTCCACTCCATGCTAAAGTTTGACCCAGTAAGTGCCTCTTCCTTGTTATTTTTGCTACTGAGAATTCTGTAATTCTCATAGTTGCCATTTTGGGAAAAGACAGCAACAATAAACGCTAACTCTGGGAAGAAAGAGGAGCAGGATGAAATGGGTTAAGTACAGTCTCTCCTTTACTGGAAATCAAACCTTTCTCTTTGAAGCTATTTGGCAATACCTGAATTTCCAAACCGGCTCTGCTATAAAATAACTAGTTCATCCCACAGCTTGAAATACTCAAAAGAAAGTAGACTTTCCCAAGAGATAGCACACAGAGCTGTAAGAAAAAGGTTCCTGAAAGCAGATGGGAACTTGATCTGACTGCTTTCCATTCTTTGTGATGGTGTAAAAGTGAGCAGTGTGCATCTTCCAAGTCAGGTTTGGATTTGCAAGAGTCACAAAGCAACTCATCCACTAAGACATCTACATCCAGACAGACACTGCTCAATTTCTAGCATGGTGCACTTCATGTAATGGCTGGGTTTCCCACAACATGCCACACTATGATATCTTTAACCATGGTTTATGGAAGGAACCCAGTGCCCTGAGATTGAATAGTACATTGAACCATAAACTAACATCATGGGCTGGTTCCATTCCCACATTGAGCCATCATCTAATTAATCTAATTTTGCCTAGCGTGCTGCTTAAAGTTAGCTGAGGAGACACAGAAGCTGGCTTGGAAATATAGCTACAGTGGTGTTTCCTTTGCGTCACTGTGTTGTGCCTTCTCCACATAAGCACGCTGTTATCTTTTTTGATGCACAATGCCCTGATTTTTAAAATATGTACCAAAGCTTTCTACTGAGCCCCACTTTAATCAGAAATAAAAATTTGGATCCCAACACATAGAGGTTTTTTTTTTTTTTTGGTAGCCCAATTTAGGAATACTCAAAGGAGGAAGAGCCAGAAAACAGGACTGTCCTCTTCAAATGAAGTTGCAGGTAGTTAACAGAAACCAAGGCCAAACAACATTCAAAATACAAAGACAGATTTCTCACTTTATACCAACCTGTGGCTTATTGAATAAACCATAATCAATCAGGGTCTCACAAAGACTAAGCCATAAACTGTGAAGGTCAAAGTACAGACAATGAAGGCATATCTTGTTACCAACAACAAGAGGAAAAATGCTAACAAACAGACTTTATTCCAGCAATTGACCTCCAACTTCTTCAGTTTTATGTGAAAACAAGGGATGAAACTAACCTCTTCCAATGAAGGTTTTAAAAGTTTTAGTTCTTAGATCCCACCCACCCATTGTTACAGATGTAGGTCATCAATGATGGCCTTAATGTGTTCCTACTCCTGAAGAGGACTTTACTCATAAGTAGTAAGGAGTATGCTCATTACACATAAGGATCCTGGTTTTCCTTTTGCATACCTGTGTATTCAAAACGCAGATATGCATGTTTTAAAAAAATAAATAATGTCTCCTTTGAGTTAAGCTCATCTCTTGGGGACTCATCTATTCATGGCAGCAATATGGAACTAGCATGCTATCACCATCTTTTTGGATGGTTTTTGACTTCCCAATCTAGCCTACAACCCTGAGATTTCTTTGTGGTTGCCAATCCAAGTGCTAAGGCAACTTAAATCACACTGAATAATGCAGGTGTTTCAACTGATGTGATGCCTATTTTGAAGAGGAAGCCTTCGAACAAGATTTCTCCCCCACCAAATCATTGTTAATACCCATAAGATGTACTTTTCACCGTGATGGAACATTGCAGAGTTGACAGAAAGCATACTGAGCACACAACCAATTGGGGACAGCTCCATGAAACATGGTACATACACCTGATGCAGGTAAGAAGCTGCCAGGGTCCTGCAGGATGAATTTAAGTCTGCTTATCAAGCTCTAGATTCCTGGATTTGCTGCTGTTGCTTTAAAAGGGGAAACCCAACTTTCGAGCAAAGACATCTAAAATGTCCAATGCAGCAGGATAGCAAAAGATCCAGCGAGGAGTTACAGAAGTTAGAATGACAAGACCAACAAAATCTTTTAAGGCTGTTTTCACCTTGAAGGCAAGAATGATTGCAATTTTATAAGATTATGCTTTGTAGTTTCTTTTCCTTTCCACTGAACACAAGGTGTCCTGGATACAGGAAGAGGTGGAAAAAGGGGATGCTATATCGTTGGGCCCCAAAAGGAGATGTCATATGGTTGGCCCTGACTCTACTAGGCTTTAGAAGGGCTGTCAAGACATGATTCTTTCCCCGGGCCTTTGGATCAAGATGCGCCATAGCCCCAGTTACATGACGGTGTTACTGCTGTTTGGGTCACCATTTTATTCTTTTATTATTGTCTGTTGGTGCATGGCTTGTGGTTTTGTATTCTTTTTGTTGGGTTTTGTTGCGTTGTCTTTTTGTCAGCTGCTCAGAGTCACCTGGATTGAGTTGGGCAGCCATATCCATCTTCCAAATAAAGAAATAAAGACACGGAAGCCACCACCAACCCTGCAAACCTCTTGGAGGTTGCTGAATCGCAACTTCCAGCACTTCAAACCTGCCTGGCCCAAAGTGAGGGATGCTGGGAGTTGTAGTTCATCCACATCTGGAGGGCCACACATTTCTTATCCCTGCCCTAAATGTGGAGTATATGCGTTCATTTATGAGCGTGGATGAGAAGGATATTTACATAGGCATGTAGCCAGGAAACTGTGTTGTGTTTTCAAGAGATATGGTCCTTTGAGTGGGGTGAAGGGGAATGGTTCTTTTGGGCCTTCCCCTGCATCACTTTGTATGGTAAGCATAAAACTCTGCACCTGGAAACTAGATGGTGGAGGGGGTTGGAGAGAGACAGAAGGAGATTGATTTTATGCAAGAGCATGTCATGGATTTTAAATGCTGTCTCTTTCATTTAAGGTAACATTGTATGATGCATTTCCAGTTATTTTACAATTTACTGAGAGGTTTCTGGACTGCGAGAATAGGCTTAAAGGGAAGTTGAACCCTAGAGAGCCAGTTGTTAGTCAATCTAATTTTTTTAAAGCTCCATAAAACCATTCTCCCATTAAAACCCTTCTTGACTTGAAAAATAAACCTCATCAATTTCAAGAGGTCTTTGCCAGCAGGCCAAAAGTGGGAGAGAGGGGCGTGTAAGGTTGCAGCTAGGCAGAACTGGGTAAATAGATGGAGTTTTGTAGCAGGCCAGCTTAACCAAGGTCTGAACTCTAATGCAAAAAGAGATGTTGCTTTCTAATTTCAATCTGCGTGGAGGAAGGGGGGTCAGGGGCAGGGAGTCCAGGTGGTATAAATAGGAATGGCTTTTTCTGTTGTTGATGTTTTGTTTCTCCATGCCATTGAAGTTGCAGGGAAAAATCCCTTAGGATAATAGCAGGCGAGGTTATATATTCGAGAGCACCATTTGACAGTGCTCTGCGCGTGTGTGCGCGAGAGACAGAGAGACAGGGAGAGAACCTCGCAGCAGATGCTCGCTTGCAAGCTGAGCTGAATGACTTGTTTAAGATCTGACCTCATCGTTTTGTCACGATGGATTCATCTCACCTTTACAGTTACTGAGATTCTTCAGTGTGGAAGAAGTGTGGGAGACCTGCAGAGAAAGGACGAACAGGCGGAAGGCAAAGTCAAATCCTGGGGAGATACGCTTTTCTATTTAAGGGGATGGAGGAGAGACAGTGAGAAACTCAGGAGATAAACAGGATCCTATTTCCTTTCCAGAATAACAGGCTTTTCTCTTTCTGGACTGCCTTTCCTTTTTGAACCTTCAGCTTGCCAAGATGTCAGTCTCTGGGAAAAAGGAATTTGATGTGAAACAAATCTTGAGGCTTCGCTGGAGGTGGTTCAGCCACCCCTCTCAGAATGCCACCGGCACCGGAGTCTGGCTGCAACAGGAAGGATATGATCTTCGAGGGACCTCGGTTCAGAACAGGCTGAAGAGCCACCCGTGGGACAGGGGTCGGCTGAAGAAAAACAGCGGCCCTATTCATCCCAGCCTCTTGGCACCAGGACCCAGCCTGACCCCTGTGCCCCAGCAGCCGGCGTCTACCTGCCGCCAGGAAAACCTTCGCGCACCTCCGCAAGTGCCCGAGCAGACGCCGAAAACGGGCAGCCCGGATCTGGGGGTGAAAGGAGACGGCCTCAAAAGCAGCCAGGAGCTTCAGATGATTACAGAAGAGGACAGCAACGAGCCGGTCGAAAGGTAGGCACTTTTTGATTGCAGAATGGAAATGACTGCAGTTCCCCTTTTTGCAACGAAGAAGTGGAGATGAATAGTTCCCAGTGTTTTAGGGTAAGATGTGAATAGATCGAGCAACAGCTGAGTTAATCAATAAATGCCACATCAGTATGATGACACGGGACAAAGTACAAAGGGATAGATCTCTGCCCCCAAAAGTCTACACTCTAAAATTGGACTCCAGAACAACAGTGGAGGGAGGGTTTGAAGGCAGGAGGGAAGAGAGGATGAATTCATGGCTGGGTTACATACCCAGACTGAAGGGGTGGAATTAAAGCAACATGTCCAAAGATTGCCTTAGAAAAGGTGGACTTTTGACCTAGTTCCTTGCTCTTTCAATGAAACTGAACAGAACAGAAATGCTCATTTCCGCTGCAGAAACATAAATGAATGTAAGGTTTGGCTCTAAGAAAAGGCATAAAAAAAGTTTTTTTGTGTGCTGTGCAAAATTTGAATATGTTTTGTTCCTGGCCTATGCTATTAGTGAGATGACTCCCCTAAGGGAAAAAATAATCCTGCTTCATTGTTTCTATCCTCTGCTTCTTCTCTTCCCCTTTTCAGTAGCTCTGCAGAGCTTTTGATCTTCGATAAATGATCCAGCTCCAGATTGTCCTTTGTGGGGACTTGAATGAATAGAACATATTGGGACACTCGCCTCTATAGACACCAACACACTTACACCCACACCAACAGCCATACCCACACTATATCTGTATGCACACTTCCTGCTTTTTATCCACTGGAATCTTACAGCAGCTGTTTATTGCCTCATTGATAAGATATAATTAACCTTGAACTGTGTTGGGAAGCTCTTGGAGTTTTCCAAAGGTTTACGTTCAAACTGTATTCATCTCTAGGGCAGTTCATTGTGAGATGAAGCTCAGGCTGGACTTTGGGGCAGAGATGCCCACTTAAGTTTGGAGTGAGCCTCTCGAAGTCAGGTTAAATGTCTTAAGGATTCAGTAGGACATGAGATTTGTGACTGGGTGAACTTGGTGGGGCAGTGAATTTGCTGTTAATAAAGAGTAAATCCCGTTTAAGATTCTTCTGACTTATCCACCCCCCAAATCCTATAATACATTTGAGGGGTCAGAAATCTCCCTTTATGTGTATGATGGATGTGCAACTCCACCATTTTTTTTGAATCTGGCTCTTATTTTACAGCTTCCTTTCTCAACTGTTAGCAAATCAGGGTAATTATTTCAGCCAATCTTTTGGTATTTCACATTTTACTGGCAAACCGATGTTAGGAAAGGATAGGAAGGGAGGAAAGCTTGGAATTTTTTCTTCCATACTAGGAGGGATCAAAGATTGATTCCTTAGGGTAATTTTATCCTCACAGCCCCAAACCTTGCAGTCTGACATGAGCCTGGTCAGATAAAAGAAAGCACGTTTTCAGGTTCTTCAGGCAAGCTGATGGAACTCCTTGCCACAAACCATCAAGGTGGATACTCTTTTAGCTGGCTTTAAAAGGAAGTCAAATGATTGGAGAACGAGTCTAGCAATGCTGTAATCCCACTGGGCTTTATCAGGTCAGTGAAAGAGTGAGTGGCCTTATTCACACAGCATGCACACTTTGGTAAGTGTTAACCTTGGTTTGCTTGTTGTGCAAAATCAGTTCATCTGGTTCATTTATAGTTCAATGTATTGTGTAGATCCAGAAAAATGAGTTTGTTCAATAAGGTAAATGTGTGGTGTGGAGGCAGATAGTGTCTTAGACTGTACAAAATCTTTAGTTTAAAGGCAAAATTGGGACATCTTGGACAGGGACTTCCATGGTGTGTCTGTGCATCAAAATCTGCAAGATGGCAGGGTTGGGATCATGATCCAAGCCAAGCCCCTTTTGTACATGCATGTACATGCATGTACAAAAAAGACAGGGCTTGGACCATAATACTGCTCCTACCATCTTTCAGGTTTTGACACCCTCTGTGGGCACCATTATGCTTTGAATGATCATGGGAAATGGATGTAAGGTTTTTGGTATGTAACTGGCTTGTGCCATGCAGGATGCTGGGCTACAGAGATATATCACCTGAACCTGTAGGGCTGTATATAACTGTTCATATAATGCTAGTTTTAATGCCAGTCTAGAATGGTAAGATAGTGTTGGTGGAAAGCATTATGAAGCTTCATGCGAGCAAAATGTTCTGATGTTTTTAGAAGATCAGCTGAGAATTATGTCATCCATTTACCCTGAACATCCACTAAAGTGTTCTTTTGGCCTTGTTCTGACTCACACTTTGGGAATTCCCTTTCACTGCTGGCTTACTGTAGTATAAGTATGAGTGTTCCCTGGAGAAGTGGAAGAACCTGGGAACTGATCTGGCTTTTTAAGAAGAACTTGTTAGATGAAATCTAAGGTGCATCTAATTCAACATTATGTTTCTCCCAATGGCCAGCCAGAAACTTCTGAGAAGTTGATTAGAAAGACTTTAAGGCAACAGTTGTCTTATGGGTCTACCTTTCCACTGTTCCTCCAGCAATTTCTTCTCAGTTCAAAAGGGCAATTAGGATATGAAGGCCACTAATTGATCCATCCCCCAAGGAAGTAGGAGGTTTGGAGATTGTGGTTATGTCTGCGCAAATCAAGCAAAGTCCCATTCAAGTGATGATTTACATTCAATTATTTCAACCCAGCTATTCATATTGGTTCAAAAAACCAATCTGATTTGGGTTGCATCAATTTAGATTTCTGAATCTGTTCCAAAAAACCTGTTTCTGTGCATGGGCAGAAATGTTTGAATTGTCCTAATCTATTTGGAGGCATCCAACTTGACGAGACAACTGAGCATGGCTCTTGGATTCAGTCCTGAATATCAGTTTGAATCAGAGATTCAACTAAAAAATCTTTGAATGGAATCTCTGAACTTACTGTTGGTACAGCTTTAATAGCCATGTTAGTCTGTTGCAACAGCAGCAATTAAGAATCTTGATGCATCTTAAATATCAGTTCATTTCTTTTCAGTAGCTTGAGTTTTCATGGACTAGTATCTACAGAATCCAGTACAGAAAGAATTATTAGTAGGTATATCTCAATGGAAGTACAGGAAAAAAAAATAGTGCATGGTGGGATCAGATATTACAAAACGCAAAATGTATTGCTTGGGTCAATGCGATTGCATGGAAGTTAGAGACAATGAGTTAATATATTGAATAATTGTGAATTGGCACTTTATTCTGCCTTACTATAACCTGAACTTGCCTTCTGCCCTTGTAGCTTACTACAAGGATGGGTTGGCTAGAAAGGAAAGTCATACTAGTGTTTGAACATTCTAGTAACAATGGATGGTGTCCCTGCCAGCATCTTCTGCTTTCCTTCCCAAAGTGTTTACTATCTTTCATGAAAGTTACCAAGTATGCCTATTAATTTTGTGAAAGTTGTGCCAAGTAAAAGAGACATTCAGGAAACTTATTTAATGGGAATGTTTAATACTTCTTTCTCTCAAAAACTGCTAAGTATGCATTAGGTATGTGTTTTTCTTCCATCCTCTTAAATGACAACCTTCTCACTACTCAGTAAGGGAATGTCTTTGGCAAACTTTCTATGCATTAGAATATGCAATTCTCCCCAAATACTCATTTATCACTTCCATGGTATGGATTCTGTGATGAGGTTATGTAAACTGGAAGATGAATGTTAGTTATATAAATGGTGGAAGAAGAAGATGGATCAGATGTCAGCTGATAGTTTTGTGTACTGCAAAATGCTAAAAGAGCATGATGTCAGTTTTTAATCACTGTGGTCAGAAAGGGGTTGGGGATTGCCAAAAAATGGACTTGAGGTTGTTCATGGCAACTTTGGAGGAATTAGATTGATATATATGTAAAAGCAAACCTATTGGATTAGACCAAGCATACATATTACTCAATAACTTGTATCCCAGAATGGCCAACAGGAAGTTTGGAAAAACGCATAAGGGACACAAGAAGACTCCCACATTATGGGTCTCTGGTAATAGCCTACCGTAAACACGAACTGTGATGAACTTCACCATGCTTAGTTTTTAAGTGAATGACAGAAAAGCCAAGAAAGTTGATCCCTATGTCACTAATGTCCCTCAGTAAAATTATTCATTCTCCAAACATGAGTTCTTATGTTTCCAAATGAGTACCATCCTCACATGAGAAGGAAAGATGAACAAAGGATTTTATGTTGTTGTTGTTGGAAGGTGTTGCAGAAATGCAAATAAGCAAGCAAATCATTTTGTAAGGAAAATAAAGAGTCTTAAGACCAGGGGCAACTCAGATGAGAACTAAGCATGGTCAATGATTAAGAAATGTTGACTGTTTCATGGAGATGAAGGATCAAAAACTGGGGCAAATAGAGGTAGAATGGGAGATCCCGGGAGCAGATTACTACATGCTAGAACTTATCTTTGATATGAAAAGTAATTTCATATTCTACAGAGTAATTCAATACATTTCTGTCACTGTCGTCCTGTTCCTATACCTTTACTCTTTAACTTAGGAAGCGAATAAAGATTTCTTCTGATAAGAAAAAATATACTGCAGAACTCATAAACACTCTACAGTCACCATTACATCCCAGAGAAAACTTTTCTTATTTCTATATCCATTTCTTCCCAGAACAGGCAATATTGTTTTCATCATCATGATTTTTTTTTTTACTGCTACTGAGGTTGGAGCTCTTCCCTGGGGGCTGATGTCTTGGGAGGTTGGGATGGCCATGACCTTCTTAAAAAAAAGTCTGCACAATTAATCCCCTTCTTGGGTTGCACCTGCATTCAGATGCATTAAACTGCTTAGTTCAAAGGTACAGGATTTTACCAATCATACAGCTTTGAGAGTTGTTGTGATGAAACCATGAATGAACTTGAGAGGTTGTAATGTCAAATGGACCTGAAGAATCCTTTTCAGGCCATGATCAGATGTTTGGATTGTTGATTCCTGCAGAGAAACACATTTCAATTTCAGGTCACATCTGTGCTTTCTATACAGAT